ATAAAGATATCAAACTAGAAATAAACCATGAAAAGAAAGCAAAGAGACTGCCCACTACATGGAGATTGAACAACATGCTACTGAAAAATCATTGGGTTAATGAGGAAATCAAAGAAAAAAATTGAGTTTGGTTGACTGAGGTGATGGGCTTGGGGAGAAACAGAAACGTGAAGGGCCACTCTCAGCACAGCACCCTGGAGAATCACCTGCACCTGACCCGCACTGATGATGTCACCTTCCCTACTGTAGGGTAAATGGTTTTCAGGCTTTTCTGCCCTCCCACCATTAGGATTGCCCTGCCTGATGGGGCACCTGTAGTTGTTACATTTTTGCAAACTATCTTGTTTGCTTCTGTGGGCCATGGGAGGAGTATTGAGATAGTCACCAGAGAAGCAGAAGCAAGAGAAGCAGGAGAGAGAGGAGAGAAAGAGGCTGAAGAAGCCCAGAGTGAAGGCTTGCCTGGGGCCTGGAGGCCTGCCCACCTCCTGGTCCCCGGGCACCCCTGCATGCTGTGTACCTGATTGCTGCTCTATATGTAACAGCTCAATAAAAGCCTGAGAAACCCACTGTAGGGTAAGGTAAAAAAATCAGACTTTTCTGCCCTCCCACCACCAGGCTAGATGAGGGAACCTTGTGATCCTGAATGCATGCCTGATGGCGGGCACCTAAAGTGGGTGCACCTGAGCTAAGACTGTGCTTTTTAAGGGCGGCATCACGGGGAAGCCAAGAGCAGCAGCAGAAGTTGAAAGAGAAGCCGGAGAGAAGCCGAGAGAGAAGCAAAGCAGAAGCAGAGAACGCCAGATAGAGTGAGGATTTGCTGGGGGCTGGGAGGACTGCCAGCCTCCCGGCCCCCCAGCACCCCTGCCTGCCATATGCCTGGTGAACCCCAATAAAAGACCTGCAAAAACCCACTAGGACTCTGACTCCTCCTTTACCCGGTCTGCTGCATCAGAAGACCTGCTCAGTGGCCCATTCCTGCCTTTACACCCACTGAGAGCTTCAAGACTCTCCTTTACCCGTCTGCTGGATCAGAAAACTTGCATGGTGCCCATCTTGCCCCTATACCCACCTGGCTGAGGTCAGGTCTCCACTTCCTCCCTGAGAATTTCTTTCTTTCCTGGGTCCCTTTCCATACAGCAGTTGTTGGAAGGAGCCACCATGTGGAGCCAACACTTACGGGGTGCTCTGCTATAAACATTTCTGTGCAGGTTTTGTGTGAACAAAAGTTTTCAAGTGAGTTGGGTAAATACTCCAGAGAGTGATCAACAGGTTTTAGGGTAACTCTGTGTTTCACTTAATAAGAATTAGTTATTATCTCTTCCATAGTGACTGTGTTATTTTGCATTTCCTCCAGCAGTGAATGGGGGTCCCTGTTGTTCCCATCCTGGTCAGCACCTGGTGCATAGTGTCCCCCCTTATCTGAAGTTTCACTTTCCAAGGCTTCAGCTTCCCGAAATTAAACTAGGTTAAAATTTTTTCATAAGCTATTTAGAGAGAGATCACAGTTACACAACTTTTATTACAGTGCATTGTTGTGATTGATTGTCCTGTTTTAAAGTTACTGTTATTAATCACACAGTGCCTAATTTATAAAGTAAATGTATCATACACATGCATGTGCCGGGAAATCTTCGTATATAGAGGGCTCCATACTATTGGTGGTTCTGGTATCCACTGGGCGTCTTGGAATACATCCCCTGTGGAAAAAGGGGGGCTGCTATACTAGGATTTGGATTTAGGCCATATAATAGGTGTGCATAGCATATCCACATTGCTTTAATTTGCACTTGCATTTACATATGTCAAGATATGATGTTGAGTTTCTGTTCATATGCCTAGTTGCCATCAATGTAGTCCTTGGAAACTGTTCAGAGTTTTGGTCAGTTTTAGAAAGTTATTTGTTCCTTGTTGAATTTTAAGGGTTCCATGCATATTTTAAAACATGTTTTGTATTAGTTATATTTTGCAAATATTTTCTCCTGGTCTGTGGCCCAAGCTCTTTTACAGACCTAACACATCAATGCATACATAGACTTTTCTGGGGAGAAAATGAGAAGCTGCTGACTACAGTGGGTTCAGAGTAGAGGCGACTTGACTAAGAATGATGTGACTTCTGTATTTGTGTATGTTCTTGAGTATTTATGAATCCTCCATGTGAGCATGAATAGCAAATATTAGTTATTATCAAAATCATTATCAAAATAAATTACACAATACCTGACACTATCAAACACTTGGCAGATCCCCCTCAGTCACATGTTCTCAGGCTCTGACCTTCTACTCTAGGACCGCCATCTTGTCACTGAATGATTTTGCCTTAAAATTTCCACCTGACAAAAGTGGGCTGGATGGATGGACACCTTCCTACTGAAAAGAGCTAAAAATGTGAGATATGTATGAGATACAAAACCACCTCCTTAAAAGCATTAGAACTGGGCCTCCCCTCGTGGTGCAGGTGGTTGAGCGCCACCCTGTGAAGCTGTCTGCAGCCTCTGCAGTGCTGGTTCGATCCCAGCCAGACGGCGAGGGTCCCACATGGCGCAGCAGACCTCTCCTGTCTCGCCCTCTGCTCCCCTCAGCAGTGTATTTCGTCAGTCTGCCTGTTGTGTTCCCCGCTCCGTTACTGGTGAATCCTCTCACCCTACCATACATCTGGCCTGTACCCCGGTTCTGTACAAATAAATAAATCTTTAAAAAAAAAGCATTAGAACTGACAATATAGTAATGAATACCCACATCCAGTAGAGAAGGGGGAGACCCTACATGGGTCCCACAGAGAACAGCATCTTGAGCAGGGGAGGATGGGCTATGAGGGCACTGTCCAGAGCAGACATGGAGCCCAGCCCTTCAGCTCTACGCTGAGCCTCACGACCACCACCCGACATCCCTTTCAAAATTTAGGAAGACCCGCTTTATTTTGGTTATGATATGTGTGTGTGTGTGTGTGTGTGTACACACATATATGGTACAAGTCTTAGGATATAAACTGTATTCACTATAAAAATAAAACTGTTGGGCCTCCCTGGGAGTGCAGCCAGTTGAGCGCAGCTCTGTGAAGCTGTCCTCAGCCTCTGCAGCGCAAGTTTGATTTCCGGTTGGCCAGGGAGACACCCACATGGCTCAGCAGACCTCTCTTGGCTCGCCCTCTGCTCCCCTCAGCAGTGTATTTCAGTCAGTCTGCCTGTTCTATTCTCTGCTCTGTCTCTGGGGAATCCTCTCACCCTCCCGCACATCTGTCCTGTACCCTGGTTCTTATATACATAAATAAATCTTTAAAAAAATAAAATAAAATAAAAATTTACAAAGCATTTTCAGTCCAGGAGGGAGTAAAAAGCACTGTCAGCTGTTGTTAACAATGAGAACCAGAAAAGCATTTAAATGAGGCCTCAAGTTTGGTGATGACCGCTCATTGTCAACCTTCCCCAGGCAGGGCCAGCACCTGAGCCCAGAGGAGAAGGGCTTCCCAGGAGGGAGCAGGAAGGAGAAAGCGGAGATGTGGACAGAGACCACCCTGTCCAGTATGAAGGGCTGTGGGGCCCTGGCCAGGGAGGCTCAGGAAAGCAGGGAGCATCTCCTCAGGCCTGAGAGAAAGAATCTGGACACAAAGTAAACCCAGTTTCCTATGACATAGAGCACATAGAAGTCACTTCTGCCACAATCCAAAGTACTATGTGCCAAGGAAACTAATTTATATAGGGAGAATTAGACCTTTTGTATAAGGAGAATCAAACTAATTTGTATAAGAAGAATTAGACACACACACACATCATAACCAAAATAAAGCAGGTCTTCCTAAATTTTGAAAGGGACGTCGGGTAGTGGTCGTCAGGCTCAGTGCAGAGCTGAAGGGTTGGGCTCCGTGTCTGCTCTGGGCAGGGCCCTCATAGCCCTTCCTTCCCTCCTCAATGTACTACCATCTTTACTTGAAGGGATGAATGACAAAACACTATCATTATTTAGATTTGGTTAATCTGTACACACTTTCTAGAAAGTGAATGTGAGCTGTCCCTTTAAGAAAATCAAGTGTCAGTTGACAACTGATAGTAATTAACTGCCTTGATAAAGTACAAGCTCCAAGTGAAAACCAGATAGTGGAAAATTGCGTCCCATCACTATAAACTTGACAACTTCCAGTAGCCACTTACTTTTCTTTGGGGATTTTGGAACATGAAACATGTATGATTTTCAAAATTTGATTCTCGAATAATTAACATAAAGATCATATAACCTGGTAAGACAATGCATCACTTTTTAATGTCATGTATTAGTACAAGATTAATAATCAAGAGAGGCCTATGGAATTAATATAACAGAATAGAAAACATTCAGTGATACTGTTCTACCACTCACTTTGCAAATAACATTTGAAAAACCACCACTTGTATAGTTTCGATTTATTGCAGAAGTGGAACAAAGTTAAATATTCACAATTATCTGAAAAGCACTTAAAATGCAATTTTCACATATTTCAGAGAGGCTGTATAGTTTTTTCATTGGCCTACCAAAACAAACAGTAAATACAGGAGAAACTAGGACAATCCAACATGCCTCTAGTGAGACAGAGAGGAAAAATAATTGCAAAAATGTAAGCTGTAAAAGATCCACTCATGACTCTGGGTATTTTTATTAAATATCTACATTTCTTTAAGACACTTTGAACACACATTGGGTTAGTAATATTATTCTAAATTAAATGAAAATATCTTTAAATTGTTTTTATTCCTCATGTAGTAAATACTGAGAGCTTTAACCTCCTAAACTTATACCGGGGTCCTGGCTAATTTTAAAACTGCAGAGATCCTGAAACAAAAAAGCTTGAAAAATCGCTGCCCCAGTCCCTGGCCGGGACTCAGGAAGGCAACTGTGTGACAAAGCCCTTGGAGCAGGAGAGGAGGGGGAGCAAAGTCCCAGGTATTATGGTGTGGTTCTTAGGGTCTCAGCCCTGTGGGCTGTGCGTGGGGAGGCTCCATCTCCCCACAGTTTCACATCTCCCACAACAGGTGTCAAGACCTCCTTTGAATACTGGTGACTCACGCCCAGTTCTCACTCCCCATTGCCCGGAGGTCTGCAAAGACTCCAATCAGCATCACAGCTGCCACCAGTGTGGACTCGGTCTCCCCAGACCTCAAGAGCACCCGTCATGAGGCCCCCAACCCTCCTGCTGCTGCTCTCAGGGGCCCTGGCCCTGACAGAGACCTGGGCTGGTGAGTGCGGGCTCTGGAGAGAAAAGGCCACTGAGGAGGGGGGTAGTAGACTAACCCCGGGCGGGGGCAAGGCCCCAGGAAAGACTCCTCACCCCCACTGCTGACCCTGTTGTCCCCCTTGACCCCACCCTGCCCTGACCCCTTTCTGTCCCTCTCAGCTTCCAGCTGCCCCTCTGAGTCTTTCATCCGCTTCTCATCCGCTGCCCCATTTGAATCTCAGGAGCCCCCTCTTCCCCTCCCCCACCCACGTCTCCCCAGCCCGGGTCTCCCCTGCGCCCCCAGGCTCCCACTCCCTGAGATATTTCTCCACCGCGATGTCCCGGCCCGGCCTCGGGGAGCCCCTCTTCATCGCCGTGGGCTCGGTGGACGACACGCAGTTCGTGCGGTTCGACAGCGACTCCCCGGGCCAGAGGATGGAGGCGCCGGCGCCCTGGGCGGGGCGGGAGGGGCCGGAGTACTGGGCGCGGGAGACGCGGACCGCGAAGGACACCGCGCGGGCGTTCCGAGACAACCTGCTCACCCTGCGCGGCTCCTACAACCAGAGCGCGGCAGGTGAGCGGGGCGGCCCGGGGCGCTCACGACCCCACCCCGCGGGCGGGCGGGGACCCCAGACCCCGGGCCCGAGCGTCCCCCGAGGCAGGGGGACCCGCCGGACCCTCCACCCGGGACGAGCCCCGGGACGTTCCCCGCGAGGTTCCCGCGTCGGTTTCGGTTTATTCCCGGCGGGCGCGGGGGGGGGGGTGACCGCGGGGTGACGCGGGGTGACGGGGCGGGGACAGGCTCTCACACCCTCCAGGAGATGTACGGCTGCGACGTGGGGCCCGACGGGCGCCTCCTCCGCGGGTACAGTCAGTATGTTTATGACGGCGCCGATTACCTGGCCCTGAACGGGGACCTGCGCTCCTGGACCGCGGCGGACACGGCCGCGCAGATCACCCGGCGCAAGTTGGAGGTGGCCGGAGAGGCGGAGCGCGTCAGGAACTACCTGGAGGGCAGGTGCGTGGAGTGGCTGCTCGGATACCTGGAGCACGGGAAGGAGACGCTGCAGCGCTCAGGTAAGAGGAGCCGCGAAGTCTCCCAACCCCCCTCAGGCCGGCACCGCGGGGAGGGTGGAGTCAGGGTCACAGCAGCGCCCCCTCTCTGCTCAGGGGAGGAGGAGCCCCCTGGGTTTCCTGACTCCCCAGAGGACCCCACTTTTCTTCAGAACAGTTAAGGAATCCAGTCTCTCCTGAGCCTGAGGGGAGACCAGCTCTGAAATCACCCTTCACCGGATCATTTTTCTCTCAGGGTCTTATTGGTCTGAGGACGTTTTTCTGATCCGACTCCTGCTTTTGTGAGTCCCCAGGTCAGGAGCAAAAGTCTGTGCTCTTCTTTTTAGAGAACTGCGTCCTCCTATTCAGAGTTGTCACCTAATTCTAGAACTTTCTAAGGAATAAGAGATTATCCCAGACTCCCCAGATCAGGCTGGTTTCTGGAGTTCGCGCTTCCTCTTTGCAAACCCAGTGCCCTGTCCGTTTTGAGGATGGTCACATGAGGATTTTTCAGGGTCCATGAGAGAAATACCCTGAGTGTGAAATTTCTCACCCTTCTCCTCAGAGGCCCCAAAGACACAGGTGACCCACCACCCGACCTTAGACCAGAAGGTCACCCTGAGGTGCTGGGCCCTGGGCTTCTACCCTGCGGACATCACCCTGACCTGGCAGCGAGATGGGAAAGACCTGACCCAGGACATGGAGCTGGTGGACACCAGGCCTGGGGGGGACGGAAACTTCCAGAAGTGGGTGGCTGTCAGGGAGGTGCGTTCTGGAGAGGAGCAGAGATACACGTGCCATGTGCAGCATGAGGGGCTGCTGGAGCCCAAATTCCTGACTTGGGGTAAGGAGGGGGATGTGGGCACAGAGCTTCTCAGGGGCATCAGGAGCCCTTCTGGAGACCTTCAGAGGGTCAGGATGAGGCTTGGGGCTCAGGGTCTCCCCTTCCCTTCCAGATCCCTCTCTTCAGCGCCCCAACTCCGCCGTGGACATCGTTGCTGACCCAGTTCTCCTTGGAGCTGCGCTCACTGGAGTTGCACTGGTGCAGCTGTGATGTGAAGGAAGAAGTGCTCAGATAGGGAAGGAAGTGGTGGGGGATCATATCCACTGGGGTCTTTGAGGCCACAGGTAGAACTAGACCTACCTGGTAATGGGAAGTACCATTGTAAGGGCAGGATGAGCACAGGGCAGGTTCTCTATGACCCAAGCTGACGGGTGAAGGAGGATTCCTGGTGAAGGAGGAGTCCTGGAGCCCTCAGTGGCTTTTTCAGGCTTTTATTGAGTTTACCAGGTACAGGGAAGGCAGGGGTGTGGGGTAGTAGGGTCAGGAGGCTGGCAGGCACTAGCAGGCCTCCCAGACCCCAGCAAGTCTTCACTCTTTCTGGACTGTCCTGCGTTTTCCAGTGGCCTCTGCTTCTCTGCTGGTGCTGCTCTCTCGCTTGTCCTCCTTCTGGTGGTTCTGCTGTTCCCCTGGCGTCCCCATGACGCCGCCCTTATAAGTGCACTCTCATCCCAGGTGTATCCCTCCTATGCATGCCCACACCCTACTCCAGGTGCCCACCATCAGGCATGCATTCAATCTAATGGCAGGAAGGCGAAAAGCTTGATACAGATTTTACTTACCCTACAACCATCCACACACTTGTGTTGCTCAGTCTGGAGCTGATTGCAAACCCTCTTTTGTAAAGCATTTTTGAAAATAAATCACATTGTGTAAGGGCAGGAAAGGACACAGTGCAGGTTTTCTGATCCCATGCAGACCGGGTAAAGGAGGAGTCAGAGTCCTCAGTGGTTTTTTTGCAGGTCTTTTATTGGGGTTCAGCGGGTACGTGGCAGGCAGGGGTGCTGGGGGGCTGGGAGGCTGGCAGCCTCAGCAAATCTTCACTCTATCTGGGCTCTCTGGCGTTCTCTGCTTCTGCTTCGGGCTTCTCTTTCGGCTTCTGCTGCTGCTCTTTTGGCTTCTACTGGCGTCTCCGTGATGCCATCCTTAAAAGCACATTCTTAGCACAGGTGTACCCACTTCAGGTGCCCGCCATCAGGCATGCATTCAGGACCACAGGGTTCCCTCATCTATCCTGATGGCAGGAGGGCAGAAAAGCCTGATATTTTTTCCTTACCCTACACATTGTTCACCTTGATAATTCTGATGATGGGGCCCTGATTCCAGTAAATGGCAGAGGGGAAGGTCCCTGCTGAGGGCAGACCCAGGAGGCAGTTGGTCCAGTCCCCTCTCATCTCTCTTCATATTTCCTGGTCTTGCCCTAAATGTCCAGTCACAGTTCTGGAAACTTCCCTGTGGTCCAGACTTGGGGATTCTGTTAGGACTTCATAGCCTGACTTCTCCCTGGTCTCACATGATGCTCCCTCCCACAGGAGGAAAAGGAGGAAGCTACACTCAGGCTGCAGGTCAGTGTGTGTAGGGTAAATGATAGTCAGGCTTTTCTTTCCTCTTGCCATTAGGATTGATGATGGATCCCTGCAGTCCTGAATGCATGCCTGATGGCGGACACCTGGAGTAGGGTGTGGACATACATAGGTGGGATTCAGCTGGGCTGAGACAGGGCTTATAAGGGAGGTGTCTGAGAACAGAATCACCAGGAGAACAATTGAGAGACCAGAAGTGAGCACCAAAGATAGCCCAGTAAAGGCCTGCCAGCCTCCCGACCCCCCAGCGCCCCTGCCTGCCATGTACCTGGTAAAATGCCAAATAATGCCTGAAAAAGCCACTGAGGACTCCAGAACTCCTCTCCCTTCCAGTTCTGCTCAGGTCATAGAGATCCTGCACTGTGCCCTTCTTGTCGCTGCAGTGGGGATCAGGGGTTTGGTCCCTGAGCCCTGGGGACAGTGTAGAAGGAGCCCATGGGGGAGTCACCCACATCAGTCCCTCCTGTGGTCTCATCTCTGAGTGGCTCTGACCAGGTTCTGTTTTGTTCTCCCCCAGGCAGCAATAGCACCCAGGGCTCTGATGTGCCTCTCACAGATGCTAAAGGTGAGACCCTGGAGCCCTGTGGTGGGAGGGGCTGGAGCAGAGAAGATGGGATCAGGTTATGGAGAAGCTGTGAGGGGGACATTCTGAGGATGTGGTGGACTATCGAGAATGTCGACACTTACCTGTTTCTTTGAATTCTTTTTTTTTTTTTTTAAGATTTATTTATTTATTTACACAAGAACCGGAGTACAGGCCAGATGCGCGGGAGGGTGAGAGGATTCACCAGAGACAGAGCAGGGAACAGAACAGGCAGACTAACAAAATACACTGCTGAGGGGAGCAGCGGGCGTGACAGGAGAGGTCTGCTGCGCTATGTGGGACCCCTGCCAGCCTACCGGGATCAAACCAGCTCTGCAGAGGCTGCGGATGGCTTCACATTGCAGTGCTCTACCACCTACGCCACCAGGGGAAGCCCACTTTGAATTCTTTTATGATCCATTTCCTTCACAGTGTGAGCCAGCTGTCTTGTTGGGGCTGAGTGATGCAGGATTTCGTCTGATACCCCCCTTTGTGACTTCAAGATCCTCTGGTTTCCTTTGCTGCAGGAGGCATCAGAATGTGTTTCTGTTCTTATTAGATAATGTGAGGAGGGGGAAGACTGGCCAGGCCCTGCCCTCCAGGCCCCACCCCATGCTGACCTGTGTCTCTCCTTCATGATTTTCCTGTTCCAGCAGGAGCAGCATAGTCTGTGTCTACCTGTCTTTGTGTTTTCCTCAAGAATAGTAACTACGTCCCCCTTGAAATAATAATTGAGTTCTGAAATTACTGTTTGTAAACTTGCTTGATGGGTTTGGTGGGCTAATAAAAATGATTCCTAAAATTTGAGATGAAATGAATGGGAAACCTTTCAGAATCACATATTTGCTGTGCTGAGTCTGTGCAGGTGGGAGCGGGAGAGGCTGTGAGGAGCCGAGGGCGACGGGGCCTGTGTCCAGTCAGGGTTCACTGCATCGGGGGCTTTGATGTGGTCACTCCTCGGGGTCATCTCTCTGCTCCTTTGTCATTGTCCTTCAGGAGCACCTTGTGCCACCATGCCACCAGGGCCTGTGATCACAGGGACTCAGATCCCACCTGGCCTTGTGTAGACTGGGCAGGGAGTGCTTGTGTGACCGGGTCAGCCCAGGCTCAGCTCAGGCTCAGCTCAAGGTCTAGCCTTCCTATGGATTCCTGTTTGCTTCTTTGTTTTTGTTTGTTTTTTGCTTTATGCCTGTTCTTTTTGATGTTTAGAGACCAGGCCTCATGTCCTCTTGGTCCCTGTCTCTGACAGCAGCAGGAGCATCTGTCATTGTCCCCACAGGCCCAGGCTATCCCCTGCATGCAGGAGTCTGGTGAGATGGATTTCCAGACTCATCTGATTTTTGGCCTCATTTAGGACTTTTTTTGGATTATTCTTTCCATCTTTTCCAACAAAATCCTAATATTACTAGAGAGGAGGATTTGACAGTTTCCTGATGGATTTAGATAAGTTCCTGATAGGTTTCTGTTTTTCTCTATAGCTTCTCCCCGTAACCCTACCTTTAATGTAGTAACCCCAGTGCTGGTGCTAATCGAGACCCATGGGTTGATGGAGTCAGTTACCATCATAGCTGGCTGAAAAATAGGACCCATAAACCTAGGAACTTGGGTCCTCCCTGGTGGCACAGGGGTTAAGTCACAGCACTATCACCTCTACACCCCAAGTTTAATCCCCAGCCAGGGAGCTACCCACTTATGGTGCAGCAGACCTCTCCTGTTTCGCCCGCTGCTCCCCTTAGCAGTGTATTCCATTAGATCTGCCTGTTCTGCTCCCCACTCTTTGTGGTGAATCCTCTTACCAACCCCATCCATGCACTCTGACCTACACCCCAGTTCTACGCAAATATAAATAAATATTAAAAAACTACAAACCCGGGCCTCCCCGGTGGCGCGCAGCAGTTGAGCACTGGATTGCGAAGCTGCCCGCAGCCTCTGCAGCGCCAGTTCTATCCACAGCTGCTCCCCAGCCACTGGAGGAGGGTCCCACGTGGCGCGCAGACCTCTCCTGCTGCCTGCTGCTCCCCTCAGTGGTGTACTTCGGTCCTTCTGCCTGTTCTGTTCCCCACTCTGGCTCTGGTGAATTCTCTCACCCTCCTGCGCTTCTGACTGTACCCAGTGCATGTATAAACAAACAAACAAATAAATAAAACATGCCTCTATTAAAAAAAAAAAAAAAACTACAAACCCCTTTTCAAAAGAAATACACCTGTGTAATGTGTCACATTAGTACAGACACTGTCTCTAGAACAGGGAGGTGCTCTACACTGATGACACACCAGATAACTGTTGCACCAGATGTGTGACTGTTTATTCAACTAGGAAAAACAGTGAACTAAAAACATGCACAACATGTGGCCTGCAGAGAGTATGTCCTAGTGGGGAGGAGAGACTGGGGACTGTGTGACACCAGATCAGACAGTCAACCACACGTGTCTGGTTAGAAGTGGGTAAGGGATGTGGGAAGGTGACAGGATGGTTTTCTTCCCAGTGTGGTTGGTGTGGATCTCACTGAAGTGACCTTTGAGAAAAAGTCCGATGGACACGTTGCCCACAAGGATGTGATGTGCAGGGAAGTTCAGTCCAGGCAGGACAACCTCCAGTGCAGATGCCTGAGCAGGAATGTGTCTTTGGGACTGACATGAGCAGGGAGGCCAAGGGCTGACCAGAGGCCGACTGAGATGGGATCTGTGTGCACCCAGATTGTTCAGGCCTGAGGATGTTGGGAGGGTTTGACTCTGAGTAAGATGTGGGGTGACAAGAGCTTCTGAACAGATACACACTTGTGGGACTTCTCTCTGGTAGCCGCAGTCTGGTGGCTGTGCAGCATGGAAGGGGGAGAGGTGGGAAGAGAAATGGAGGAAACCAGTGCAGGTCCCAGGACAGAGGGGTTGGTGGCTTTGTTGGAGGGTGAGCAGGGAAATAACAGGAAGTGATAGGACTGTGCACATTTAGACATGGACTTCACGGTGTTTGCTACTACTGGGTTGTGTGAAAGGGGTCAAGGATGACACTCAGTGTCTCAGACTGTGCAGGCAGAGAGGCGGAGCCTCAGTGACATGGGGAAGACCCCAGAAGAGCCATATGTGGGCATCCCAGGCATTCACTTGGGGAAAATTGAATCAGATCCATTAGAATTGAAAGTGATGTTGGCAGTTGGACAGACAAGTCTGGGGCACTTGGTGAAATGTCTGAGGTAAGAAAGAGATCTGGGAGGTGATGTGATGTCAATGATATTTACAGTTTTGAGCATGTGTCACCCAGAAAGTGATGACTAAGCAAGAGAAGGGTGCAGAATTGAACCCTAGATTCCACAGTGATGAGTAATCGGAGCAGAAACCCCCTAGAGCCAACTTTACAGTCTGACCCTACTTGGAGGAGACACGGAGACCAGGGAGCCCCCACTTCAGTGAGCACAGGAGTCACCTGGACACTCATGAAGACTCAGAAGGTCTAGAACAGAGCCTGAGAGTCTGTTATTTGGCCCCTCCCCGACCCTAGGGACGGAGAATTTAGGGCTGATGCTCAGGAAGAGGCGCTTTCATCCCTGGAAGCAGGAGCAAATAACAGGGACTCTGGAGTCCAAGTTTTCATCCAAAAAGATTGAGGGAAACTGTATAATTTGGGGACTCAAAACTGGGGGAGCAACTGTTATGACCTCGACACCTGGCTTTTCCCTGAGGCCTGTACCCATAGTTACTCACTAAGGGGTCAATTTGAGGGCCACGACCCCACAGTGGAACTTGTCCTGCCACTGGAAACCCAGGGAGCCTGGGGAGGGCCTGGCTGAGCAGGAGAAAGGGCAGCTCTGGTCTCCTGTGCTCAGCCCTGTGGCCACACGGGGGCGCTGCCGCGCTGTTCCGGATTCTGGTAGAGCCGCCAGGACGGGGCGGGGGCTGAGCTGGGCAGAGTTGGGGGTCCTGGAGGGCGGCGTCCTGGGGCTGAGATGCTCTGTGAGGAGTCAGAGAAGCAGGGCTCAGAGGAGAGGTGACTCCGGAGCCTGCCCTGTGTGTGAGGTTTCCAGCTTTTCTCCCCAAACTCCACTCTCCAGTCCCTTCTGTGCAATACCTGGGGAAATAGATATAGTTTGTATAGTTTCCTTCTACAAACTATACTTTGTTGAGGGCTATTTTTTTAAATGTTATTTTAATTTTAAATTTAATTTCAAACAACATTTAAAAAATACTGTTAGATTTACAGAAACGTGGCAAAGGTAGTAGAGTTCTTGTATAATCCACATCATTTCCAAATTTTTTTTTATTTTTTTTAATAATAAATTTTATTTTTATATTCCCCATACAATTGCAACCCCCCCCCATTCTGACCCCAGTCCCTCCCCTCCCACCCCTCACCCCCCAAAAAGTGTCTCTGGTTCATAGTTTTTTGTTGATTTTGATTTTCGCTTTCTTATAGTTACTCATTTTTCTGGTCCTTATTTAAGTTTCTAGATTCCTGCTATGAGAGAGACCATCCGGTATTTTTCTTTTTCTTTTTGGCTTATTTCACTGAGCATGATCCCTTCCGGCGCCATCCATGTTGCTGCAAATTGCATGTGTTTATCTTTTTTGAATGCTGAGTAATATTCCATGGTATATGTGTACCACATCTTCTTGATCCAGTCATCTATTTTTGGGCATTTGGGCTGTTTCCAAAGCTTAGCTATTGTAAACAGTGCTGCTATAAACATAGGGGTGCAGGTGTTCTTTGGAATTGATGTTTCTGTGTCCTTTGGGTAAATACCTAGGAGTGGAATTGCTGGATCATATGGAAGCTCTATGTTTAGTAGGTCCAGAAATCTCCACACAGCTCTCCATAGTGGTTGGACCAGTTTGCACTCCCACCAACAGTGCAGAGAGTTCCTTTTTCTCCACACCCTCGCCAACACTTGTTGCTAGTTTTTTTAATATGTGCCATTCTCACTGGTGTAAGATGGTATCTCATGGTGGTTTTGATTTGCATTTCCCTGATGACAAGTGATGTTG